TTGTCCCTGCCTGAATCTACTCCAATGTGACTGCCCCTGTTTGAATTTGCTAGATACCCATCCTCTACTCAATAAATCTTTTTTTGGTGTACTTCATCTGAACTGCCAAGTAATCAGATCCTGCACTACTCCGCCACCGAAAATTGAACATGTTTCAGCCAAGTATCAAGTTATCAACACACTGCCACCACCCCAACTGCTCACCGTGCTAGACTATACCAAGTGCAGAAACCTTTTATTCACTATCGGCTGAGTTTCCAGATTCAAGGCTTTCGCTAGCTCCATCCATGGCAGCCAGTATTGGGGCGAGTTCCTTTGCCGAAACACGCAGCTTCTCGGCATTTCTAAAACCCTTTCAGAACAATTCAAATAAAATTTGTCTAACTTACTTAGGATCTCGCTGCCACACCCGAAAATTTATTTGGGCCTGGTGGGTCCCTCGGTACTTGGCCGCTGCAGCTCTATGTCTCGCCTTCCTGGCATCTGCTTCTTCTGGTGTCTCATTTTGTCGCCGGTACTCCCTCAAACTGTAACAGCATGTGAGTGCCTTCCGCCCCATTCTTCGGCCACGTTATGACGTACCGTTGAGCTCTTTCCCAGGCCTTTCTTTGTAGAGCCTCTTGGTTTCTGCAGTTTTTTAGCCACTCAGGAGAAAGGTGTGCTCAGAAAATGAATGGGGCGCACCGATAATAATAAACGACACAGTGATCTTTGTGGTTGGGATGAGCTGCCTTACCCATGATCGCTTATGTGGGCTTGTCTCATCAAACCAATATATATATATTATCTGGTCTGAAGGGTCCACTGCGAGGGCCACGACTGTTGCAGATTCAGCCGCAGATATCCCCGTCAGATTCGGAAGGATCGTTTTTTGAGATCTCAAATGATTTCGCGAGATTTCGAGTGATTTCGCGAGAACTTAATGCTATCCACACTGGAACATGTAGAACGGTGTAGAACAGGACAATTAAATATCTAGAGGATAGCGGAGGTGACTATAGAATTTTATATATCATCCATTTGGTAGGAAGAAGAGTGTTGAAGCGTTGACTTGAGGCTCTCGCGTGATCTGCCTGGGTATTCTGCAGCCGAAGTTCATTAAGTAGCTAGTCTCTCAGTGCTCTCAGTTCTATTGTATACGTGCAAGCCATTCACCCATTAAGTTCATCTGCATGGATTCAAGGAAAATTAAGTAGCTAGTCTCTCAGTACTCTCAGTTCTATTGTATACGTTCAAGCCATTCACCCATTAAGTTCATCTGCATGGATTCAAGGAAAAGGGCATTGCAATATGTACATGCTAAATGGTATATACAGCTGCGTCGTGTTTACAGGGCTATTGAAATTCATTGATGGTGGAAAAAAGAGAGAGTCCAAACGCCAATCGATCACGACCTTCTTCAGCTGCTGCCTGCTGCTCCTCCTCAGACAGAGACGCAAGGTATTCGTCTGCCTTTTGGAACCCGTAATCAACCCACTGAAATGTCCCCCCAGCCGTATACTGCATAAAGGAATAGCGTTGCTCTTCCTTCTGAATCGAGGCGTTGGAATGGTCTAACAACGCCAAAGGAATAAAGATTGTGGATCCGGGGGGGAACTCAATGACCAATCCAAGGTCCCAGAGAACCAAGTGGCTGCCCTTTTTGTAGTCATAGTTACCAAGCGCCGTGATGGCACACCAGCCAAAGGGTAGGTTGGCGTGGTCGCGATGTCAATGGCATATGGTTTGCAGGCCAAAGTTGAAGGCACAGGTGGCAAAGACGCTGTTTTCAAAGTTACAGGTGAGGGTCTTGTCGTGGTCCAGGAGCTTCTGTAGGTGGTCGGCGTAGTAGGAGTGGAGCCTAGGTGCCCACGTGGCAAAAATTCCTGGCCGGAGAGGTGAGTATCACGTTGTGAGAGGGTGCTCTGTTTGCCTACCTGACGCATGTCCAGCCATTCGAACGAATGAGGGGTGTTTCAGGAGCCCAGAGAGAACTGCATCGTCGGGGGCATTGTGATGCAAAACCATGGGCCTAGTCTGTCCACCCCCATGTGAGATACCAACGTTACGTGCAAAGAAGGTCCCATGCCTATGCCGCCTATCCTCTTTTCCCCAGGACACCCCTCCTCGAGTTTCCTCCAGAGCAGTGGCAGCAGACTGATGCGTGTCTGGCCAATTGGAGGCATCAGAGCCGGCACAGAGCCCGATGTATCGACCACCTTCGTCGACGATGGGTATGGAGAATCTATTGGGTGGGGGTCAATAACGATCCATCGAATAGCAACGTGGAGAAACCTACGTGCCATCCCAAACGACCTTCTGCATCTTAAACCGCGACTGAGGCCCAACCAGCTGCTCAAGGGGAAACTTGGATGACGATTTGGGCCCAGGAAGAGCTATGTAGCCCGAAGACATGATGGGAATCGTGTCGCTGTTGTACTTTGTGAGGCGCGGTTTGGAGGACTTGACATGCTTCTTCACCGTAGCTGGGCGAGGCTTGTATGGATGAATTCGTTCCTGGCTTTCTAACTTTGCAGCCTCCCTCTCTCTTTCTCTTTTTCACCTCCGATCGGAGGTCTTATCAGTGCCCCCCTAATTCCTGCAGGAATCCGGTCATTCCGGCGGATTCCGGTGGATTCCGGAGGAATGAAATTTGGCAGGGAGACCTGCTATTTTCATCATTCCGGTGCCTTACCATTCCGGCGGAATTTGGGCATTCCGGAATTGACACCGGAATGTTCCGCGGAATTCGCAGGAACGGAATCCACCGGAATTCGTGTTGGCTTTGTTTGGTAACACAAGGGAAATAAACAAAGAATACAACCAAACAAACTCATTCCTTTCCACCCCCCACCCACATCCTCTTCTCTGCGACGTCGACCGCCCACCTACAACAACAGTGACGACAGCGACAACCACGACGACGCCACATCAGCAAACAACGGCCACGAAACAACCCCCTGCAACGCCGCCACGTCGCTATCGGTGACGTGGCAACGACGCAACGACGCCAAATGAGACGAGGACGCACAACGGGACGACGACGACGCACAACCGGACGACGCCGATGCAACGTGGCGACGTACCACGTCGTCTGACGGTGACGACGTGGTATCGTCACCGTCCGGTTGATTTGGGCCACCCAAGTGAGTAAACGGCCCCCTCACCGCCCCACTGCTCACCATCCAGGTGCCACGTCGACGTGGCAAGCCCCCTCGACCCCCAGTGCTCAATTTCCAGGTGCCACGTCGCACACCGCCCACAAACATGCCCCGCCGGCCATGAAAAAACGTGCAGCGCCCACGAACAACGCCCAGCGCCCAGCTCCACCATCCTACAGCTCAGCGACGAGCGCCCACGACAACGACCACGACAACGCAACAACGACACACGACGACGACGACACGCGACGACGACAACGAGACGACGACACGCGACAACGACAACGCGACAACGACGACACGTGAGGACAACGACAACGACAACGCGACGACGACAACACGTGAGGACAACGACAACGACAACGCGACGACGACACGCGACGTCGACAACGTGAGTCCCCACCACACTCTCCCCACTCCATCGGTCCCCCTTTCCACCACACACTCTCCTCACCACTCTTCCCGCCCCTCCCTCTACCACACACTCTCCCCATCACTCCCTCTGTGTCTCTACCCACCCCTTTCCTTCTCCATTGCCATGTCCCTTGCTCCTTCCTTGTCCCTACCCCCCCTCCTTGTCCCTACTACCTTTCCTTGTCCCTCTCCCCCTCCTTTAATATTACGTAGTAAAATACATGTTATGTCCTTATTAAATACATTATAATTTGACCTATGAACTTATTGCTTCACTAGATGTGGGTTCTATAAGGTACTAAGTTATCAGGATAAGCTTGGAGTTGAATAAATACAGATTCAGTCACATGATAAAAAGCTGATCAGAATATGGGGGTAAATTTACATGGTTTTTCAACCTTACTCTGTCCAGTCCTATTCCAGTGGAATTCCTGTGGATTCCGGTCCCATTCCTGTGGAATCCTGTTCCATTCCTGTGGAATCCTGTGGATTCCTGTGGATTCCTGTGGATTCCTGCAGGAATGGGAGGGGCACTGTAAAGTACTGTCCGATCGGCGTGGCCCTGGCGCTTTGCATGCGTGGGTCGGTTTGGTGGGCCAAGTTGGACAGGTGCCATAGACTGCGATGGCAGAGACTGCAGTGGCACGTTGTCGTCATTGGTCATGATGGGAAAAGCGAGCAATCGCGGTGATGACAATGGTGAGGTGGGTGGGGTAGAAAGAGGCGAGGATGCGGAGGAGGGAGGGAGAGAGTGCTCGGGAGAGGTAAGAGGTGAAGAGCCGAACAAATACATAAAACCCTCCTCAAGCTGGATGCTGTCGATGAGGAGTTTCGAGAAGCAGAATTGGTCATGGGGCAGTAGTACCGTCATCTTGAATGACATCAGGCCTGTAAAAAAGGTCAACGGTCTACCGAATGCTCAACGGAAAAAAGGCGCAGGGAAAAAAAAATTGCAGAATCAAGTGTATTCCCCGGGCGCGGAGTATTCACTGTCATCCACAAGGACACCCAGTCCTGAGTGGATTCCCTGGGCTCAGAGTATTCACTAGGAGTGGGTGGGGAAGGGGGCAAAAGGTACAAATGAGGCGCTCACCAGATTAACGGAACGTCTGGACACGTTGAAACATGTTATAAGTTGAGGATGGGGGCTGAAGGGAAGTGGCCAAAATTTGGAGAGTTCAACAAAAAACACGGTATGTGTATTTCACATGATTTGTCATGTGAATGTCACAGTCACTATAATCAGAGTACGTTCCAAGTACATACTGAGAAAATGTCCAATACCGCTCGTTTCAATCGTGGCAGAAACGCCAATGGAAGTCGCCCTTCCAAGCGCTGACAGACAGGCATCTATCATGACCGACTCCCGCTCAACGATGACTTGGATGTCATAAACTCCCGTGAAACTCAATTTAATACTTCTCATCGACTCGTCTCGGAGACACCACATACCGCTCAAATGGGGGAAATGATGTGGGTGGCTGACGATAATGAGTTTGGGCTGGACCCGGGATCAGAGTGGTACAAGGAAGCGATGGAGGGGGACGTGATGGAGGACAGAGGGCCGCCAGAGGTCCAGAAAAAGAAGAAGAAAGCCAGGAGCAGGCTATCAGTAAGCAGCCCTTCCACTTCCCTTCAAATTGCCTTTCTAATTTCCATCCAGAAGCGCCCACATCTCGTCTGGAAGGAAAGACATCGAACGGAGTACCTTGATGAGTTTATTCGATGGGAGGGCTGAGGGGATTTTCGATGGGAGAGGGCTTGCCCGGATTGTGTTGCTCACAGAGTTGCCTCACCTGGCACCCCTGACCATCGCTGTTCTGACTGCTGCCTACCTGACCTCGTATGCGCCTTGTGTTGTGTTCGACGCCACCGTTGTCTGCCGTTGCATCATATAGAGGTTCATCCAGTTTCACTCAGCCGTTCTTTCCATTAATTTACTGGGCCGTAGAAGTGGAGTGGTCATTACTTTATCAAGACAAGCCTGAAGAGCCTCAGGTTACGCATCCAGCTGAACCACACACGATTGACGTGCACCAATGCTGAGCCCTGCCACCAAGACCTTCGCATTCTCCATACAAACGGCATCCACAACGTGGCCTTCGACTATTGCAGCTGTTTATGCGCTGTGCCAAAGCACATTCAGCTCCTTTGGCATGGGCTTTATCCAGCCAGTCAAAAAATACCTAAGACTTGCGCCTCCTTCGCTCTTTTACAGCTACTCCATCTGCTCGCATTGACCACAAAGGGTTCGACTTACGACTTCTACCGGACGCTGGAGAAATTGACCAGCAACACAGGCCTCAGCATGCCAACTTCGAGATATCAGCCACTTCTGTGGATGGTTCTTCAATTTCGACACCTTAAGATGTTGAAGAGGGGAGGTGTGGGTCATGACCCGGCAGGGGTTGAGGGGGTGGGGGAGGGCGCTCTGGGCTTGAGCTGCCCCCACTGTCCTCGCCCAGGAGTCAACCTTCCTGATGGATGGGACAAGGCACCAGAATCTCTTAGGTATGTATGCACGGCGTTTAACAATGGGGCTGGTTCTGATTGATTTACAGGTTCTTATACTTTCTGACCTACTCCATGGATGCCAACTTTTGTCTCAAAAATCAGCTAGTGTCCTCCTTCTCCAGTGATCCAGGCCTGGGTATTGGGATGGCGTACATGGTGCCACGCGAAGGGTATGACTCCTATGTGTTGTCTTGGGCAAGTGATGCAGATGTAGGTGGTCCTTGCCCCACCTTTCTTTGATAACCCTAACAGCTACCCAGATAAGTACGTGTGTGGGCTTTCAAGCCCTGGCAAAGGCGAACTCTAAGTTTTCGAGGGGGCTGAGGTTTACAGGCGTGGGGGCCGTTTCATGTGCCCGCTCGGAGATGGTTCTTCCGACCTGCGTCAGGAACCTGCAGAAGGGGGAGAGGTATGTGCCTTTATTCATCCACATCATCCAACGATTAAATGTTTTCAGGTATGCCAATATGGACTACATATTTGGTAGGGCCATACACGATGTTTCCCCCAACATACCTGTGGTCGTGAGCTATGACATCGCGTGTCAATGGTTTGTAAACCTTTGAAAAAGGATGGACGACCACTGGCCTATGGATTTGCTGCCTGCCTCCCCTCTCGACATGCACCCACAGATCCCTGCTTTCCACGAGCCAGGCCATGGCCAGCGGAAACACCAAGAATATTCCTTCAAGCTCTCATGGGGGATGGGGCTCACGAATGGAGAGGGCTGTGAGCAAATATGGGCAGCAAATAACGCCTTGGGTAATGCTACGAAGATGCAGGGCCCTGGTTCACGTCAAGATGTTATCGACAACCATCTTGGCTTTTGGAATTGGCTAAAGTATTGTGGCATGGGTAAGAATTTCTTCAAAATCATTAAATTCACTGCTGACTCCATTGTACAGGTAAAACATTGATGAAAAAATATAGGACCGCCATCCGACAGAGAAACGTTCAGGTCGAAGGCCATCGAGGGTTCACCAACACCCTTCCAAAGGAATTGGCTGCTGAGTGGACGAAGCTGTGCAAGGATTGGGATAGGGCGACGTACACAAAGCAGGCAGAGAATCTGTTTATCACCCGCGGACTTTGTACATCTTTACGTTTATCTCACCCCCCTCCTTCCTGACATGGCTTCCTCGAACAGGCCTGACTGAGGCAGAAATTCAGAAGGAGTTTGCTGCAGAGGAGGAGTCGTTGCTTGTAGGCGGTGCACCTGCCCTCCACTCCACCACCATGTCCTCGTTCATGGTCTTAGCTTTGGATCTGGAGGATTCACAGTAGGTTTGTTTATTTTTAGTGCCTTAGGCAAAGCTGATTTCCTATTCAGGCAAAGACTCTGTGAGCTGGCAAAGTCACGAGAGAGTGGTAGGACGCCTGGCCAAGCGGCTTTGTTAACGGAGCTGCGTAATGTGTTACGCGCAAAGATTAAGCACTGGGAGCAGATACGAGGGGTGTACATGCCCGGGCTTCAGCGGCTACAGCTGGAGCAGGAAAGGACCAACAGCAAAACGCTGCGCGCAGGGCACTTCCAGCCACCCCCTGCATCTAATCACCCAGAACACGTCGACCTCTGGCTTCCCTCCTCCCTCTCTTCCCCGTCACACGTATCCGTCTGCAGCGCTCGCCTCATCGCCATAGAGGAGAAACTGAGGACGGAAAGTTTGCGTCATGTCCTCCGCGTCAAGAGCCAGATGATTCTGTTCAAGAACAAAACGTCAGGGGTCAGAGAGATGGTACGCAGTCTCGATCGGTCATTGATCAGGTACATGCTCGGGCATGGGCTGCAGCCGCCAAGTATCGCCTTGCTAGATTGGCAAAGCTTTCGCTCTCTGGCCCAGGTGCTTGGGAGAGCACTCTGCGTGTACTTCTGGACTCCGACATCCGTGCATACAGCGACCCAGAGAAGATGCGTGTGCCTGTGGGGTGGAGGGGAACATTGGAGCATGAGTCAGAGGAGGTGGAGGAATCAGGCCCATCAAACACGCAGGCACGGGAAATCGACCTTCGACCAGAAATTCGAGGCCGACGCGATGGAACAGGGGACACGCAGCGCACCCTCTCGTGGATATGGCAGATGGATGGCTTTGCTGTCAGTGGGGAGGATGCGGAGGACGACATTCTACGCTCGGAGTGGGCAAAGAGCAGGGCAAGGGCAAATAGGGCAGAGGAGGAGGTCCTTCTTGTTTGAGAGGAAATGAGAAGAACGTTGGAGTTTCTCAACTGGAAGGCACAATGGTGGGAGGAAAGGGGCAAGCTGAGAACTCCATCAGACAAGGACTGTCTGGAGGGCCTTCAGGCCTACTCAATGGAGCAGGCTGCTTTGCATAAGCAGCTCCACACAAGTTTCAAGGAGATATGGAGGCAGCCGTTAGAGGACGCAGAGGATGAGGAGGGGGAGGTGGTTGATGATGAAAGGGGGGGGGGGAATTGATGGGGATGATGATGAGGATGCCGAGGACAACAGTGAGGAGGGCGATGACGAGGAAGACGGGGATGACCCTGATGACGACGACAACGATTGATGGGAACACCTACAACGATGTCGAGGGCAAACAAAATGACTGCAATCAGGCCCAGGGAGCAGGGACAAACTGCAAGAAATGACGACCCTGACAACGATGGCGACGAGGGAAATGGACCCTGACGGCAATGACAATGAGGAGGGAGAGGACCCTGAGCACAACAACAAGGAGGGGAGGACCCTAATGGCGGTGAGGGCGGGGAGTGGACCCTGACGGCGATGGCAAGAGGGACCCTGATGTGGAGGGGGTATGGACCCTGACAGTGCCAACGTGGACCCTGGCAGCAATGACGAAGCCATTAGCACACTGTTCTGTAGTAGTTAGGCTCTGGTAGCTAACTAGCAGACTCGGCAGTTAGGGGAATTGATGCATCAGGTAAATGGTCAGTTAGGGTAATTGATACATAATTCTAGCAGCATAGGCTGTCCCACGCAATTCAAGCGAATCTGTGAAGCATTCACTCTGAACTTCTCGCATAGCTGAAGCCAAGAGGGAAGGAGGAGGCAAGAATGGGTGGATCTGGGATCAACACCCATGAGTGAGCAATGAGCAGTTACAAGATACTCAGCTGGCCCAACATGATTATGCATACTGTAGGAAGTACAGATATACAAAGCACTACATGTAGTGCAAGAGGATGGCAAGACTGCTGACAAGGTGGTGGTTCAAGACAAAAGATCAATATATTATGTAAGATATCCAAATCTAGCTATATACCACTGTTTGACTATGGCCTCTGGGCATTCCCTTCCAATCCTATATCACAGAATCAGGGCACAACGAGACAGTGAATCTTGAGCGCTTCAGGTCAGAATCTGTGAAGGATAAGCACAGAATCAAATCGCATGACGTTGGTAAGCAAATTTCACCCATCCTACGTGGAGGTTTGCCTAACGCAACGTCTACTATTGGTCAGTTGGGAGAAAAGTCACCTCCGCCGCTTGAGAACCATCCTTCAGACTTGAACGACCCATCTCCACAGACACCATTTACTTGGGCACAGCCATCACACTCAGTTTGCCTTGATCAACCTGCTTTCTGCGAGTTGTCGTTTCAGCCGCTTGCGCCAAGTCAACGCAACGGCAGACGGATTTTGAATGCACAGATTCTGAGGTGATGATAATGGAGGGTCAGAAGGGAAAGACACAGGCTTTTGGTACGCACAAGCAACACAGTTCACACCAAGGTTTCGCCCATCCTGCCAGTGCAGAAGGAACTTCGGCACAGTCCCAATCAGACTTGATTTCCACCAATCAACTTAATTCCTGCGTCCTGCCTCATCAAGTTGGCACGCCACCTCGCCAGCTGTCTGAACACAAGCCCACAATGACCTCCGATCATCTCAAGGCTCTGCCTCTCACGGAAGCAGGGCAGGACAGTAAGGACGTTACCGAGGACTTGCAAAACACTAGTACGTATCCTGATGCTGCCTGCCACGTTGAACCTCCTCATTCAACGTATATCAGGCTATCCACGGACTGCTTATCCTCTGTGCAAGAATCGAACACACCAGCTCCGGCCTACGACATCCGCCACAACGTGAATTTGGAATACGTCGATTCTGGGGGGGAAATCCTTGTAGGAATAACTAGTAGTCATTACTGGAGTCTTCCCTATCCTTCATGCATAGTGATTCCATCACCACCAACAAGTATACGAAGCTTTGTTACCGCTTCACCTGAAAAGGTTCAGAGGTTCATTAGAATTCAAAATCAACATGTTTCGTACGAAGAAGGTCATAACACGGTCAACCACAGTCTTGTTGCTACTGCTAGCGCTACCCCCTCAGTCTCGCTCATTCATTCACCCCTGGACCTAATCTCCATTGGCAATGCCAACATAATCCCATTCAGCTTTCCTATACCAACGGCTCACTCAGATGTAAGCACTGTCATAACGGATTCTACGACGAACTTACGGGATGTGAGTGATCTCATTTATTGTCTACTATCCCCCAACATGAGCCTCAGCCGCCAAAGCACTCAGGTCGTGCCTTTGACTTCCGTATCGACTACGGGAGATCTTTACTCAAATACATTTGTCGATCGACACGATCCCTACGTCCTAAAGCCCCAACTCGTCTTTGTTCAGACATATCAATGTTGTGTCTCAGCTCATGAATGATGTAAATCCGCCCCAAAGGCCACGATGATGCTCAATCATTGCAAGTCCCTGGATCTTGCAAAGTTGGAGAAGATGTTACTGTCCGGGTTCAGGATGGTAGTGCTCACATTGCTGGCCAGGTCAAACTTTCTGACACAAATTCTATCAGCTTATCTGCGGAGCTTCAGTCATCGATACAAGATTCTACAGCCCTCTGATGCTTCTGACAATAGGATTGTGGGTATTCAACCATCCAATAACAGGTCTCGCAAGCTCAGTGAGACAGAGCCAATGGACTCTTCTATTCAGACACCCAACACTCACCCTAACCATGATTCGCAAAGCCTCACTCATCGTCTATGAGAAATTCCAACGAACGTATTGAGGGTGAAGGATGAGAAGAGCACGAAAGGCCATGTAGAAAAAACTCTACCCATTTTCTGTGCAGAAAGTCATGGTGTGTACGTTGCCAAGGACGTCCTCAGAATGGGATGTACTAATGCAGCCAATCCTCAAAAGATGTTTGGCGGGTCAACTGCAGAGCCACCATCACCTACAAGCCTCCCTTTCTTTTCGTGCAGATGCCCTTTGAACACACTATCATCACTATCATCCGAGGTGGATATCTACAAGCTACTCCACACAATTAAAGAACACCCGTTTACACTGAACACTTCGACTATCGGTGGAATTACCAGTTTGCCTTTGCCTTCCCCATCTTCTCTGGCTCTCTCGCAGCACCAATATCCAGAATCCTCAGGAAATGCCATAATGATGGATCCGGCACGCAGCATCCATGAATCAGTGGTAGAGGAGATAGAGATCATCTCAGAGGAGCTTGGTAAGCAAAAACTCCATGTTTCGTGCGAAGACATTCCTCACATACTAGTTGATTGTAGTGAGCAGTTGTTAACTGTGACTGTGCAGGTCTCTTCGATTGCTGAGCTTTGGGATCTTTGCAAGTCCATGCCTAACGGAGCGCTCAAAATTCCCAACGTCACGGTGGGTATCAGTAGTCCGATGCTACAAACCTCGCATGTAGACCATCTGTCTCTGGGCCCTCCAGTTGTCAAATCCTCAAAACTACACAACTTTCTGCCGAGCGCCAAACACATCAGCATGGGCTTGCTCGATCCTTTCACCGATCCACAAGGCAGAAGACCAGCACGTGATGCTAGGGGGGCAGAGAACCTACAGAATGTCAGTATACCTTCTGATCCTGTCCCCCATGCCGAAACCCTTGACGAAGGTCCTATCAGCTCTGCTGCTAGCTGTTCTTCATCCCGGCGACAAGAATCTCGCCCACCAGCCTTCACTTGCGGTATTCACCCTTCCTTGAATGGGGAGAGCATCAATTCTGGGGGGGAAACTTTGGGAGAGACTCTCGAACATTGGAAGTCCTCGTCCACGCCTTTGGTTCTGCTGTCGTACAGTAATCCTTGTCGTCACTCAACTCTTTCACCCGTTACGTTGTTTCTGATCTTGCCAACTCCAGGTGGTCCAAGCTATCCCGATGTGCATCATAACGGACGCTTGAATCGACAAGTGCCAGAGTCATTCTATGATGAATATTGTAGCCCCATCGAACAGCCCCATACAGGAATTCAAGTTCGCATCGTGATGTTGGAGCACAGGGACATCATCGACAAAGTAAGTAGTGCTAATACTAGTGAAGCCACGCATATCTTGCATTCCTTACCCTCTATCATTCTGACCTCTTCGTCGTCGCAATGTTTCAGCACAAATGACATCAATGTCACAGAACAACCTGGAAACCAGGTCTTGCACGTCGAGGTACTCGCGGTTTCAGGCCTACAGTACGCTTTTCTACTACGCCACCATACTATATCAAGGTCGACCTCAGGGTACCCCATAGCGGACTCATGGATAGCCTCGCCTCCCCTGTTCCATCTAACACTGACATTCATTGCCATACTATTGGCATCCGTTAGCTACCGTACTGAGGTCCAAATTATCACAAGCATTGAAGGCTTCTCGTACCTCAGTTCTCCAACCTCGGGGGGGATATCAGCATGCAGGACAATCTAGGATTGTATTTGAATTTTAGCAAAGACATATCCCAAACAGAAATTCATCGCACGGCGCCTTCAGTGTCCCTTCCATCTCCTATACACTTTTCTCCGTTTTCAACAGTGTCGCGGCTCTCCTCTCCAAGTCCGCCATTCCCTCAGATATTAAGTTTACATTCATCCAACATGAACTTGGCCAAACACAACACAGATCCTACTAGGGAGAAGGGCAGGCATATAAGCAGACTAAAGGCAGTCCTCACACTCTACTTATTCACGCTCTACGTACTGGCATGCCTACCATATATTGATACCACACGCTTCAAGTTCAATTTCAACTCACTCTTTCCTGATCACCACCCGTCCTCATCAACTGACATTCTATCAGTGAAATCATCAATACACCTGGTACTTTCCCACTCTCTGCAGCTCACTTGGATTGGCACATCCCAATTCCATCCTCTGATGCTCAACTCAACGCCTACCAAACCACCCAAGAGGGATATCAGTCATGTCACGCAATGTCGCCGTACACAACTCCAACCAAACCTGTCAACGAAACAGTCTCAAGGAACAAACTGGTTTATGTCTTGGCATCCAGAACAATCCTGTGTATATTCCAACTTGCCAAGGAGCTGTGGTGAGAATCAGGACACTGATCTGTCCTTCAGAACAGAGGGCACCATCGGACAGCACAAACAATCATCAGCTAGCAACAAATTCACATTTACATCAAATGAAACATCAGTACACATGATTTCCTCTATTACAGGACAGAGTTGGTTCTTGTTTGACTATGGTGCAAGATATTTTAGGGCTATGTCAGACACCTTTTGGACTTGTCAAACTGTACTATACTGTACTATTTCGACCTTGTGTTCATGTCACGCATCACAAATAGTTTTGAACTGAACACCTATGGAACTGTCACTAGTCATGACAGGTAGTGAACACTTGGTAAAATGAGTATAATAAATGGATTTTTTTTTGCCCCAAGCACTTTTTCGAACAAGAACAATGTTCTAGGATAGTTGTATCATATCAGTAATCCTCCCAGTCCTCCCATTTGCCCTTGCCAGTGTAAACCTTACGTGCGTGCTTGGTACAATGACCTCGGCCAAGTATTGGCTCAGGAATGTCAATGGAAACCTCTTCAATGGTTGGAGGTCCTCACCACTTAACCATTTGCCTGAGTTATAATGTAACATAGTCATCCTGAATACTTACATTACTATTGGCTACCATTACAATTATAATATTTAGAAATAATTGAACACTTCAAGTTTTCATGAACACTTTTGCCACTGTTACACATCACAAACACCTGTGAACACCTGTTTCTGTGAACACCGTAGGTCACGTGTCACACCCCATGAACACTAGGTCGAAATAGTACAGTACTATGGAATTCAGATTTCAGTAGCTAAATTGTTTCTAACAGGGTATGTCAAAAGCAGAGGACAGGGGGGGATATGTTATGGTACTGCTCATACCATGACATTCACATGTGTTTCAAGCCTGTGTCCTCTACTTCTGACACTTAGAAGTTAGTATTGACTTGGTATTGACTTTGATGAGTGTAATGTTTGGCAAGCAAGGTGCAACCAAACAACTTAGCTTCTTGACTCATGTGCAAGTCATACTGACTCATTGGCATTGGAACATTGTAGAATGGTGTAGAATATCCCATGTATATAAATACTGCCTCTCTGAATGCAAGAGAGCCATCTCTTAACTTTACCCCACTTTACTCTCATACTTGAGAACTGCTGTAAGCACAATCAGTACTTGTAGGACAAGGTAAGGCTTCGCGCTACCCAGTCTGAAGCTGTCCTAAGATCATTATGCTTCGTGCTAACATCACATTTGATTAAAGACTCGCTCTAATCATTCGGCAGTCTGGTACTCAAGTTCTTACTTGGTTTCAAAGTCTCCTTTAACTTCAAAGATACTTACAGAACCCCACGGTCCTGCTTGTCTCTTCTTTGGTAACCCTTTGTATTCAATTTCTACGGACTACTTGTATACTCATAGGGGTACACCAAAGATTACAAGCCGTATCGTAACAACCAGCGCTCTGTAACCAAGTCTATTCATATGTTGTTTGCATTGTTTCTGATATACAAAGGCTACTGGGTGTACGGCACTATGTAGCTGGTCATTATTTGAACCAAAATGGCAGTAGTGATCAGGAAGCATCAGGTGGTATTGTGTATTATGAGATAGGTATATATATATACATTCAAACTTCTAGCCTAATCATGAACAAAGGAAGTGTGTAACACATCTACTACCTGGAGATGAGGAGAGCACATGGAGAGCAAGGGGGGGTGTGAGTATGACGAACGCCAATAAGAGATGAGGAGAGTAAGCACTGCCTGTAGATGACGAGAGAAAGGGGTGGGGTAGGGTGAGTACAATGAACACCGATGATAGACGAGGAAAGCCAATAAAAGATGAGTAAAGTGCGCACTGCCACAAGAAAGGGGGAGGGGGGAGTATGACAAACATCGATAAAAGACAAAAGACACTGCCTGGAGATGAGAGAAGGGGGGGTGAATACGACGAACATAGATGAGGGAGGTTGAAAGTACGCACAGACATGCTACACATACTTGAGGGTAATGGTCAGCACTGCCTGTGGATGAGACAGCAAATGGGATGTGAGTACAGCGGACGTGAATGAAGACAGATGAAAGCACGCACATGGAAACAAGGAGAGAAAGGGGGGTGAGTGTGAGTACGGCTAATACAGATGAGGGTGAATGCACACACAGACTAGAGATGAACAAACAAAGGGTTGTGAGTGTGGAGAACATGGATGAAGAAGAATGGGATGCACTGACTGGAGATGAAGAGGACTTGGATGGAAAGACTTCCGAGTTGGCGACATGGTGGGAAGGAAGAACATTGGAATTCCGTGTTGGGGAATTCAAAAATCAACATTGTCACATGGTGTCGGAGTTTCAACAGACTTGAATGAATTGCAAACCAACCTGTCATTGCTCGCTCTCTCTTTCAAATCTTTGGCCTCTTCCCCTCTCAGCCCAAACTCTCCCGCCTTCCAATCCCCGTTCGCCCATCTGGGTTCCACTGTTCCAGAGCCAGCGCACATATCAACCGTATATGTGCCAGCCTCATGACGTATTTGTGCGACTCTTCAACTGACGACAACAAGGACGACCTGCATGATGCAAGGGAATGGAAGGAAGGCGGCTTGGTCTCACAGTGAGGAGTTATCAACGTCATCGTGTCCTTCAAGTGGTAAGCCCCAAATGTCGAAACATCACTCTCATCTCACTGACTGTTCACAATCATCGCCAGTGCGCATTCGTCTTTCCTCTGGCCAAGATAATAAGGAGCTGCCCCCTTGCTCCAAAATTCGGCCACAGGATGCCTGATACTTGGACATTATCTACAGTTCTTGATGTCGCAACAAACTTTTATATCAATCCCTACCTTTGCCATCACGACTTTTTCCTTCTACAATATTTAGTTGATCTTGATGTATCTTGGAGAGCTTTATTCCTATTTTGCTCTTCTTAACTACTACTCCTTATGGGCTTGAGTTATTTCTTCTACCAAAGCTACAGGTTCCCGGTGAAAGAATATGGGGACTACTGACACTTGCCGAACAGATATTGGAACTACTGACACTTGCTGGACAGCTACTCAGGCAATGTACATGCAAGGCCAACTACCCAGACACACTGTGGCTACTCTGTGCTACAGCGAAGGACCAAAAAGTACTAGCGCAATGGATTTTGTCGAGAAACTACTCATAAATTCAGTGTTTCCTGATGATGAGGCCATTGCAAAGCTGCTGATAGAGAAGGGGGCAGATGTAAATGCACAAAGAGTAGGGTATGGAAATGCACTCCAGATAGCATCAACTCAAGGCCATGAGGCCATTGCAAGGCTGTTGAAAGAGAATGGTGCAGATGTAAATATGATGGTGTCAAATTATGGCATATGAGTGATTCATCATCATCATCAGATGATCAGATAGCTAGGATGCTGAAATCTCTCTATGAATGTTATAATGGCATTATTTTTGTATAAAGAAACATTGAGATGAAGTTTTGTGACTTGAATGGCCAAGTATGACATTTCAAGATCCACTATTGAAGTAAATGTAGCTAGAGAACAATGTAATGTTTGAAAGCAGTTTTATGTGGTTTTCTTGCCCTTTCTGTCTTGAACAGAGAAGTTTCCATATTTGGACCACATGCACTAGACCCTGAAATTAGCTTTCTTCAATTTCATCACTAACAGTGAGCACAATTGCTATTTTCCCCTTCTTTTCAGGCTATATTTCATGCAGATTTTCTTATTTGACAGTATACACTGCACCTTGAGAATAGTATATAACATCAGCAATGGTCAGGTATTTATTTATTTATCATCAACATATCTGGTTTGTACTTTGAAGCTATGTACACTCTTATGACATGTTGTTCAACTTTTGACTCACCATTTGATCACACACCTATAACTTTGGTTTTTCTTCATCCAAGCATTCTGAAATTTTGCACGATTATAGAAGGGCATGTATCTCAAATTTTCATGTAGGTTTTGTACTGAATGGTTGTGCTTGAATTTGTTGAAGCCAATATCCCAATTTCCGAAATTGGTGTATTGTTAGTGTGCAGGGCAGTTAGTAGGAATCACCCACCAACACTGAGAGCCCCGAACATACAAACAGGCCATAGTTGATGGTGCCTGCTGATGGGCCGATATGAGACAATAACCTAGTATTGATGAATTGGCCAATGTCATCCCCACTGTTGAGGTAGCGAAGGGTCAGCCAGCAACGTAAATTTTAGCACAGCAGGATCAGCAGGAAGTAAACCTGGAGAGAGGTAGGTGGTATATCGGCTGATGGAGGATAGCTATGCAAGGTCGGCTGACAGTTTTGAATGTTCCTGGGTTCATGATCAGCCGAGAGCCTTAAATTCTGATGTGAGGGGTCAGCTGGTGGGGTTCACATTATTGTAGTTACGGTTCAGCTGATTAGTTGAGCGAATAGTGTTTGAAAGTCCGGTTCAGTCCGGTTTTTTGATGCCCAGGGGCGTTAACCGTAACCGTAACCGGTCTGCCTTTTCGCCAGAAGTCAAAAGACCAGACCGGACCGCAAAAAGACCGCAGACCGCGGTTTTTTGCGGTCTATAGACCGGTTTCGGTCTGCATCAGTTTTAACCGGTTTATGACCGGTCTTTAGGCCAATATTTTAAAATTATGAATCGGTAAATTTATTAACATCTCTAATAGCTTCAAAACGAGCCCAAGAACGTTAAATCCCGTTAGGTATTGGTGCTTCTATAAAATAAGTCTGGTACATCTATTATTCCCAAAAGTAATTTACATTTTAATTCATATCTCTCTCGTTTTTTTACCAAATCGTACGTTCTTGGGTGCGTTTTAAAGGGTATTTAAGGGGCTACAAAAAACCGGTCCAAACCGGTCAAGACCGGTTCACGTTAACCGGTCTTTTTGCGGTCTTTACATTTCAAAAATAAAAGACCGTAACCGCAGGTCCGGTCTTTTGCGGTCTTGGTCCGGTCTGGTTACAGTCTTTTTCCAGTCACGAGACCGGACTTCCAAACACTATGAGCGAATGGATACAGCTACCCAGTCGGCCAACGAAAGTGGACAATTCATAAGCTCTGGATCAGCCAGCTTTTTACCCCTTTTCTAGATGGATCGGTATCTGTTTTCCCCTTTGCTTTTATTTTAGGCAGCCAAGCATGGTTGCTTGAACCAGACCTGGTCATTCCTGCTTGGTCTATAGGCC